AACACTTCGGTTCCATCTGGTTTTCTAGTTTCTGAATAATCCTTTACGTAGTGCCGTCGAAGATCTGTGCTACCTCTTTACTCAGGTCTTGCCAAGCAGGCTCCCATACTCTGTAAATTCGCTAGATTTATCCAGTAGCTTCACTTGGGTTTTGTGTAACTTGTACATCACATTACATGTTCCACTACCTCCCAGTACAAGCTGATATGACCACTATTACAGGTTCTATAGCCCAATAGGATACAGTCTTCCAAATGCATTTTCTTAAATTCGAATTTTCGTCATCGGTGGAATTCGAACTCTAGTCCTGCTGCTTGAGGGTGCGACAACTTGCCAACTTCACTAAGTCGCCACACCCTATAAAGCAGGTATTCTTCTATATAATTTGATATTTAAAATAGCAATTTACATAATAAAATTTTTACCAATGCCCACTTTTCTAAATGTTCATATACAATTATATGTGATCTAAAATTAAAATTTATAAATCTAGTTGTCGATCTTTGCTGCGGAGTCATAGAAAAGCATTCATGTGATTGGCTAATTTATGTCGATCTAACAGGTTATACTAATAATAGATTGTCATTATTATTATTACACCAAATTTGAAACGGAATTTTCTCAAAATGGAAAAAAAGCCATAAGCCCCATTTAGTTAAACGGTCCTCATATGTCTTCAAAGCTTAATGGCGCAGTTGCTAAATTTAACTCATTAGCAACATCCCAATCTTTCTGAATTCTTTGTGAATTACATACAACCCATATTGCTCTAATAAACTTTGAGAATACGACATTTAGAAAATTAGATACTGTTAGAGGGTTATCATTAAAAGAACATCCATCTAATCTACTTAATTTAGCTTTCCATCTTTATGACAGATACGATCTTTCAGATAAAGACAGTCCACTAAATCTAAAATCCGGAATACTAAAAAAGCTCTATAAAGTAATGTTTAATGTTGAAATGTACAAGTATCAACAACCTCTTTGTCAATGGTAGTTATATAAATTTAAAACCGCCAAACAATATCTTGACCAACGTGAAGTCTATATTAAGTTTGCTCAATTTTTTATTAAACAACTTAATAATGCCAAAAATGGTTCAACATCATACTTATATAAATGGTAATTGTTTCTTAAGTAGCTTACAGATAAGCAACTTAATCTCCAAGTACGATGTCTCATTAAATTCAGCAAACAGTTCTATGAACCTGTTTACGATTTTTTAACTAGGTGCGCCCAACTCCACAAATATGTCGGCTAAATAATCTAGATACTCTTCCCCCAGGTAATCGTGCTCATGAAATGCCAGACAAGATAACAGTATAGATTCAAGAGTTTTAATATTATCTAGAAGAGGTTAATAGATTGTTCGAAGATGAATTAGTTGATGCTAAATGTGAATTAGATACAATAAATTTTGAATGCTTCTATGAATTATTACAAACTGGGTTAGAGAATGCATTAGATGGATTTGTTAAATAGATGAAAGTTTGGTTCACTTACCCTTAAGCATTTGTCGATTAGGTGGAGAAAGCAGACCAGAATTTGCTCATACTTTTTTAAATGTATTTTTTAATAAAAATTCTTCAAAAAGCCCTACCTTGCAAGAGATCTCCTATATTCAAATTTTAAAAGAGGATTTGTCTAATGGACGTTTAATTATATTTAAATTTCTAAAGTTATTAAGGCAAACCGATTTTTTTGAAGAGTTTGAAATATTTGCAAATTCTGATAAATCAAAATTAACAAAATTTCCTCTAATATATGAATTTGTTAAATTTCATATATGGAGTATTGTGGTATATCAGCAGCAGCTAGAAGGATTATTCAATCGTTATGATATAAAAGTTCACTCTAATATGAGTGCTCAATTACAAGAATTACATATTCAACTCTCTGGTTTAGATGGTGGATTGCAAAAAATTTTCCAAGACATGTTGCAAGATATTCGACAAAATAACAGAAATTTTGAAGTTAATCAGTTGGAGAATAATAATATTTCCAGAGAAGAAAACACATTTAAAATACTTAATAATTTTTTTACCTGGCGAAGTAAAAATAACTACTGGTTTAATGTAGAAAACTACTGTATATAATATATTTTTTTTATTGCTGTTTTTAATCATAATCTAAATGATTATAACCGATTGCTTTCAACATTAAAAAAAAACTATTATATATAATAAAACTTTAGTTAAAATGGTGATATTTGTTCTTTTTAGGGAACTTTGTAAAAAATATATATATATATACTCATTAGATCGAAACTAATAACAATAACAGGATAACATTGCTCATTTTATTCGATCATGGGAACATTAAAGCCAAGTACAAGTTAGGGTTACTTTTTTGATGCAATTATGGTTAGGGGTTATATAGATATCAAGAATACAATTTATGCAGTATGTAGATCATTATATGAACATACCTGCTTAAACAGATATCTTTACGATGCAAATTTAGTTTATTTTAACTAGTAAAATTGAAATTCTGGCGTTATTACTATGAAAAGATAACTTTAATTGAATGTCTTACTTTTATGAAATTAAAAAATATCAAGTACCACGGGAGGAATTAAAGGCGTAGTAAAGTCTTTTTTTTTATAATCGTTTCATATAGTGTGCAGATCCGAAAATTTTACTATAAAAAATCTGTGATTTTCACTATATGACATGCACTATGTTTGTAAATTAACCGATATGATACACCCCAGTAACCGATCCTACCCTCTCAAAACTGATATGCATGGTAGACAGATTTTGTATCAGTTTTATAAGGTTATCATATTTAAGAGGTCTGATTACTATATCGCAAGCAGACATTATAGATTGATCTTTTATCAGTTTTGACAGGATCGATTTTGAGAGGGTGAACAGTATATAAAAACATAGAGAACATACCTTCTATAAATGCACACTCTCTTTAAACGAACATTTTTAAAAATTTGTCCCGAGGGGGGTGCAATTATGAAGGGTTGACTGTATAATGATATAAAAAATTATTAAATACCAGATATTTGGCATGTAACAAAATTCTGAATAATCTTTATTAAAAATCCCATCTTGTATACGGTGAAACCTTCATAAGTGCACATTCAAATTTCAACCAAAATGTATACATGATCTCTATAAATGCACTTTTTCTTATTGTTCTCTAAGTGCACGTTGTTAAAGTTTGATCCCAAGAGCGTGCACTTACGGAGGTTTTACTGTATTATGATATTATGTTAATACACCTATTCCATGAAATCAATCAAAAGGTGACTGTCAAAAAGAAATCGCTTATCTAGAATATACAGTATGACACAGCTATATATTTTAGCGGGTTTTGATAGAATCCACCCCCACTTCGCCAACAATCAACCTAGCCAACACAAACTATAAAACAGGCCACCCTACCCTAAATCAGGCCAAATTTGTTGACGAAATAGTTGTTAGCGAATTTGTTTATACCAAATTAGTGAACTATTAGACCTAACGTTGCGCCAATTTCATCTAAATGGTAGATGCAACAAATGTTTGAGTTTTAAACTATATAAATTAGGATTTTCGAGATTCTGTAGTAATTTCGATTTGTTGGAATTATAGATTTAGAAACTCTAAATATTAGGATTTTAAACATTTTGGAGTAGAATATCAGGATGTTAAAATTGTCAATATACAATCTTGTCAGGATTTGAGGCAGATCTGTAACTGTAAAAGACAAACCATCGTATATCTAACACTGCTACATAATGTAATTAGGAATTACGTTATCATAAACCCAAAATTCACGAAAATTACATCTCTATCATATGTTTTGCATTACAAAGGCAAAAATAATTAATGGATAGAAGCAAGATTGGCCAGTGGACCAAAAATGTGGCTTAGTAACTACCAATGGACTATGTTCATTGACCCAATAGACAATACCTATTGACATTTTTTTTTTCAAAACATATTATAGTCCATCGCCAACCCTGGATAGAAGTATGGAGGTTGTACTCTCCGGCAAAACTTGGACAAATCCCAAATAAAAAAACTGCTAGTTATAAAAATAAAAAATTACCTTGACAAGTATTTTGCAAATACATTATAGTTTATATGATTGTAAGAACATACAGTAATCTGGAAAGCACGATAGTTTTGATATCAACCATACGATCACCATTTTTATTGCCTTCTACTTGTTTAGAAATTGAAACTATTTGATTTTTTCATATAGTTTAGATTACGTTTTTGTTCCTATTGCTTAAGGCCCAAATCACAAACTATTATAGCTTGAATTAATCCACCCTCAAATCTCATATTCCAAAGACTTTATTGATAGTCTTTCTAAACAAATAATATATTGTGATCATCAAATTTCATGTGTCTCAAGTCGTTCTTGCTGTAATCGTGTTAACTTTTCTTGACGTTCTCGTTCTTTTGCCTGTTCTTCTAATACGCGCTGTGTTTCCTTTTTGTCCGAAGAACATCAATCATTAAAGGATAGAGTTTGTTTTTGCTGTGCTATGAATTATTTAAAATCAATATCAAAAATAATCACCAACCGCCGAAGAACCTTGCCATGATGGATCTGAAAGCAATTGTTGTGTATGTGTACTTTGAGACAATATATTTATCCATATATCTAACAATTGGTCTGTTTGTTCAACTGTGTTGGAAAATTGCTTAGATACGAATTAAATTTATGCAACGTACAAAATCAATAAATGAAAAGTTCAAAGAAAAAAAACCCCAATATTTTTATCGATTCTTTACCTAACACGTAATATAAACAATTAACCATCATTTAATGTTTACCTGCAAATTTAGATTCGCTTGATCCATATTATTGTTCACCTTTTCAAACATTTCATTCAACTTTAGCAGTGTTCTGTATTCTTTTCTAAGTGAATTGTCATTGTCATAATTGCTATTGTCAAGTATGGAATCTCGTATGGAATCTCGGTTTGTAAACCAAAGGGAGGAATCGTTATCATTCAAAAGCGAATTTGGAAACCAAGAAGTATCGCTATCACTCAGAAGCGAATTTTCAGGAAATTCTTGATCTTGAAGGGTCGGTAATTCTGGAGATAATGGAGAATCTGCCATTTTGCTTGGATTCTAAGCATGTGGGCACACGACTGAAAAATAAACGCGGGTCGTGACTGATCATCCAATGATCGATCAGATTGTACAAACTAGATCGAGATATAATTTTTTTTTTTTTAATCAATCAGCCTTATCTGTTCTCTTTGAACATAGAAAAAAGAACGAAAGCAATGAACAGCGAATCACTTCTCAAGCCATCCCCTCTTATACCTGCATCTCGACCAGAGATCATACAATCTCTTATCGATGGTGTTGATCGCTATAATCCTGATAACGTGTCAATACTGGAGGAGTATCTTGGTACGCAGCTTCAGACTGAAGATTATGATCTAATGGCTAATTTGGCGATATTAAAGTTGTTAGTATTTGTGTTAAATGTTAGAAGATCTATTTTGGAATCTACTAAACAGTATGATACACATTAAAGAGATGATTGAATCAAGTACATTCTGAACTCAGCTATAAAAAATACGCTAAACATAATAGCCGAGTGCCGATGTTATATTACTTGCCCTCACTGATTTATAAATGTGTTATCATTTCTTATCAATGGTCTTTATGTATTTATCAACGGGTGTAGGAGAAAGATTATTTATTAATTGTGCTTTCTTACATTCAAAATAATAGGTATCAATTTAATCCACATCTTGTTAACGAGCAAGTTATAAACAATATACTTGTCAAATCTCTTACTGCTATACCAAATCCCGATTTTAATTTGTGCCTATATTTATTGCACGAAAATGCAGTATCCTTTTTTCACATTGAGTCTTTGTAATATTATTTCACAAATGATTTTTAATATAAACTTTACATAATTGTCTATTTAACTGTCTATTTGAATTAGCTTGCTGAAGATAACGTGACTAAATTAATTGAATTGCAACAATTATTGGAAGAATGCAAGTACCAAGAATTTTGGAGAGTATATGAATCAGATGAATCATATAAAGAACTTACCAGTGATGCGATAGGTTTTGAAGATGCAATACGGAAAGGTAAATAAAATTTTACATTCATACTGATTAACAACATTCAAACCCTTTCTAAAAAAGAAAAAAAAATCTCCAGTTATCATAACATCAATTGCTATGACATATCAAAGTATTTCGGCGGAGCTACTAAGTAATTATCTCAACCTAAGTACAGGTGAGTGAGTTATTTACAATTCTCTCTTGTTTATTTATCATTAAAAGAGCAATAAATACGAGTGATAAATTGTTTTTTCTATTGTAAATAATGAAATCATTAGACGATGAAGAATTTGGTTCATTTATTCAATCTCGTGGTCTTGTCAATAAAGATGGTATTGTATTAGTGCCCACAAATTACGATAATGAAGCGAAACCAACTGTGATCAGAGAAAATATCAAGTTTGAACGTAAGCTTTATTTTTATTTTTTTTCCGTAACGTATATTAGGTAATTGTGTTATAGTATTTATTTATTTTTCTACAAATCATAGAACTCACAAAAGTCATTGGTTATTCCAATGAATTGTAATAATTAATAATAGTCTTTATAATTTACAAATTTTGCAATATTGTATTTCTCAATCATTTTGTGTAGTGGTAATGTATTCTAACTTTAAAAATGGATCCAATTTTATTTCTTTTGGATTTAACTAATTAATAGCTTATAAGTCTTCAGTGTTCATTGAAGCATTGTTTCATATGTAAAGATTTATTCATATGGCCGGCAATATTTATGTGATTTAGGAAACAAATTATCGTGCACAAAGTTTACTTGAACGAAACAGCTTCGGATTTTGTAAGACTTTTCCTTATCCTTAAGTTCCAAATTCGGCCTTGTGACCATCATGCCTTATATTATCACGTATAATTAAGTACAATCCATTTTGGTTATATCGATATCTGGCTATAACTACATTTTTTAAAAATTTGAACCTATACTTAATCTGAAAATGCCACTGGTTAAACCGACATCGAACAATTTATTTGAGATGTCGATATAGCCAGAGTGACAGATTAATTTATGTAAAATTATGCATGTGTTCAAAGTAGGGTGTGTGGCACGGCAAAAAAATTTTGGCGTGCCATATGGCATGCCATTAGCCAAAATTTATGCTATGCCATACTATGGGCATGCCATAATATAATTGAACCATCTTCCGGAATATTTCGGATCTTTGCTTCAATTTTCTCTTGTAATTTTATGTTGTTTGATTTTCTACTTGGAATATTTCGGAATATCCAAATATCAGTTTAGCCAGAGTGAGACGTATCATATAAGTGGCATGCCTATAGACTATTTTTGTTTTGGGCATGCCCTATGGCATGCCACCATTGGCATGCCATGAGAGTAGATTAGAGGGTCCACCAAAATTCAGCAAATCGGCCCGAATTTGGGTTGGAATAGGCCGGAATTAACAAATTGTTTCTAAAATCACCCAAAACTTACTAATAAAGTGGCTGCCTATGCACTAAGTAAAGCTGCCCAAATGATAATTTTTCTATAATATAGTCAGCCGGTATTATTGCTTAATGCCACTTTGCTCCGGCCCATCCCTGACCTCGAATTCGGGCCGATTTACTGACCCACTAATGCATTAGTCGCACATGACCAACCTACCTCATGTGATCTTCCCCTGGAATATTATTCGATTAAAAGTAAAAATTTCGATTTATTTCGAAACTATAATAGTATTGGCAGAGTTCACATGTTTAAACAAGAGTATATTTATTTCTCACCCAGGGTGAGATTTGATAGTACTCACCCCCTAAAATTATCCAATAAACGTGCAAGATTAGGTGTAACATTGGGGTGTGCGGTCAACTATGTAAATCAAAACTATGTTTAGTATCATATAAAAATTAATTATTGAATTTTTTTTTGAATTTAGTGATTAGAATAGTGATTGGAATTATTTATCACTTTGTATATGTATTTTAATAGTAAAGAATGACTTGAAAGTTTTTAGATGTCTAGAGCGAATCGTTTTACTTTTTTCAATTATTTTAGCATAACCTATTCTTAAACGCGTTTATAACAAAGTTTCGTTGGAATTTTTTTAACGGTAATATTTAAATTGCAAGTTGATTCTTTACAAAAGTTTTGAAATATAAAAAAAGAAATATTTTCGTTGCAGGTAAAAAAAAATTAATACTAGAACCTAAAACTTTTTTAACGTAACTTTGTTATAAACGCGTTTAAGAATGGATTTATGCTAAAATAATTGAAAAAAGTAAAGCGATTCACTCTTGACATCTAAAAACATTCAAGTCATTCTTTACTATTAAAATACATATACAAAGTGATAAATAATTCCGATCACTATTCTAACCACTAAATTCAAAAAAAAAAAATTCAATAATTAATTTTTATATGATACTACACATACTGTAGTTTTGATTTAAATAGTTGACCGCACACCCCAGTGTAACATGTGTAACATGCAAATCATCTTTGTGTAACAAACAAATACAATTTTTTTAAAAAATCACAATATTTCACTATTTTGCTTATGAAACCACTCTTTGGGTTCTAACAAAAAAGATACTTTATATAATTTATATGCAATTTACTCAACTCTAATCTGCTAATATTTTAGGTTCTATTATTTTTTTAAAAAAATGAGAGAGGGGTGAATAATTCACTTAGTGGTGAATAAATTTTTTCTTTAAACAATTAAAAGCCAATCATTTTATGATCACATTGTAATATAATTATTAGCTCGACAGAGTACAATGTAATGATCACGTGATTATGATCACATGATACCAATGAACTAACAATATTTTTACTTATTTATTTATTATTTATTTGCTACATAAAATCATTATTTTATTTTCGTTATATATAGATTGTTATGTATAGCATTGTTAAGATAGCAAACAGGTTTGTAACAAGGAGGGTTTTAGAAAGAATAGTCTAAAGAATAGATAGTTAGTAAAGTAGTTCTCTTAAATAGATATAAACGTATGTAAAAAGACTTTGCAAAAGGTATCATCT